GAATGGAGAAAACCCACTCATCAATGGTCATCGCGCTCCCAGGACAAGTCACAATGGAAACATTAGGAGTTAAGTTCCTATCCCTCTTTAACCGAAGCTGCCACATCGAGGCCTTCCTCCCAACCTTCCCAGACACCCAGTGCGCGAAGTGCCTCGAATACGGTCATCGCCAGGAGAAATGCAAAAACAATGGGAGATGCGGTCATTGTGCCGGAGATCACCTCACCAGCTTCCACCCATGCAATCAATGCCAGGGAGGATATAGATGCACCCACACCCCAATCAGATGTCTGAACTGTAAAGGAATCCATAAGGCCTCCGACCCAGCGTGCCCCGAGAGAGTCAAACGCCGATTCCTCAACAAAGGAAAGGAAAACGCCCCACCCGCTCAAGACCCACCGGCCGCACCCGTTCAAGAGTTGCTTCCGATAATTCAAGTACCAGCCACCGCCCCAGTCGGAGCCACACCCGTTCCCGAAGACGACCAACCCATGACAAATAATGCTTAGGCCTCGAACCACCGCGCTCGCACACCAACTCAATTGTGCACGGAGCGAACTTATTACCAAGGCGGCGGTAGAAGAAGCGGAAACAGACTCTAGTATTTATTTCCTATTACTACAAGAACCATGGACCTCAGCAGAGGGATACCCACCAGAATCAAATCTCTTTTATATTTTTACGGCCAGCAACACCAATACAAAATGTGCAACATACGTCCGCAAACATGCCAATCTCAAACCAAAACACCACTACACACACGAGAATTTCATAGTATCGATCACGGTAGAAATCCAAACCAAAAAAACCCAAATCCTAAACATATACTCCCCAGGCCGAAGTGGCCCCTTCGCTCAAATAGCAAGTACAATCCAAACCCTTGATAACTGTCTAGTAATGGGAGACTTCAACTGCCACCATCAGATGTGGTACGGAGTAAATTCACATGAATACAGAAACAACATTCGAGCAGACCGCGTCAATGGCGCACGGCTAAAACGATGGATAACCCGACAGAAACTGACCCTCCTGAACGAACCAGGCGTCTTTACGCACTTCCCCAGAGACAGAGGGAAAAGGCCCACAACCATCGACCTTGCATTTGTAAAAGGCCCAACACTCGACCACAACCTACGATGGAGTACTGAACCCTACGGAGCGGGCTCAGACCACGGGAGAACCTCCGTCCACTTACACCTGGAAAAACCACCTTTTGTACCAAGACGAATGTGGCGACAAACAGACTGGAAGCTATTGGAGAACCACATGTCAAACATTTCCCTCCCTGCAGAGGCATGGGAAACTAAGGAACATACGGAACAAACTGTCGACTTCTTCCTAGAACTGGTCAGGGCAACAATCAGTATAGTAACACCACTCTCGAAGGAAGGAGTAAGCGCCAACTCCTGGTGGTCAGAGGAAATGAAACAAATGAAGGCAAGGGTAAATGCAGCAGAAAGGAAGGCGAGAAATACAAAGAAACCCAACCGCGTGGAGGAGCACCGGAAGGCATGCAGAGAATGGACAGTCATGATCCGGAAAGCAAAAGCGGACCAGCGGGAAAAGACGATGAACGAGGCGAAAGGTAGTGAAGTCTGGAGAATCCTAAATGCAGGGAGGAGAAGAGACACAATCATACCAACAATACAAGGTGAAGAAACGTTTGCGGGGAAGTGTCAAGCTCTAAGAGCCCAACTTTTCTCCTCAAAACGGACGTCCCCCGACCATCCCCCCTTGAACATTAGGCCCCCCTCTTTTGACCTTAGCAACACCTTCGACATAGTCACCCCCGAAGAACTTAATAAAGCAATCGACTCCTGTCCAGCGCACTCGGCGACCGGCCCGGACGGCATCCCCTATACGTTTATTAAAGCAATAGTGAAAGCAAATACAACTTTAATCCAAGACATGTTCTCCGCTATGCTCCGGCACGGAGTACAGCCAGCGGAATGGAAAATAGCTAAGTGCATCCCGATCCCGAAACCCGGCAAAGCAAACTATCATGAAGCAAAAGCCTATCGGCCCATTTCCCTTCTACAATGTTTCAGCAAAATCCTGGAGAAGATAGTGGCCCAGAGACTCTGCACCGCTGGAGAAATCCTAGGCACACTCTCAGCGAACCAATTTGGAGGAAGACCAACCATTTCGGCAATCGATGCCCTCCTGAGAACCTTAATACCAATACAACAAAACTTACTACTGAAAAACAGTACCGGAATCGCTCGGCGAGACAGACCAGCGATCCTAACCAACGATATCCAAGGAGCATTTAACTGCGTCGACCACCTACTCCTCGCGGAAATTATGCATCAACAAAAATTCCCTACCTACTTAACAGAATGGTGCAAGGAATTCAATACCGGCAGAAAACTACAGTTCCAATTTAACCATGAGCTAGAGGAACCAAAGCCCTATGATTCTGGAGTGCCGCAAGGTAGCCCCATGTCCCCGGTACTATTCATGATCTATGCTGGAGTAATCCTGGACCCAACAAGCAGCCCGAAAGAGATGGACACCACATACATTGATGACGATGCGCTGGTGCAAATATCCAAAACACCAGGCTTGATAATCAAGAGAATGGAGGAACGAATGAGAGAGAGACTAATAAAAGCTGAGCCACTCCAAATTAAATACGACCCAGATAAATCCGACCTGATCTTCTTCCGGCCCACCACATCATCCACACAACAACCACGACTTCCGGTCAAAATTAACAACATCAATATACACCCCAAGGAGAGGCTGAAATATGTAGAGTCTGGATAGACCCGACCATCTCCTTCCGGCCCCACATCGAAGCAGCGATCGCAAAAGGCCTTAAAGCCCTCCACCAGATCCGATACACCGCTCGCCTGCCAGGCATAACGGTTAAAACGATTCATCACATCATAACACAAGGCTTCCTCCCAAGTCTACTCTACGGATCCGAGGCTTGGTGGACTGGCGCAGACCACATTATAAGATCCCTCGAACCACTATATAATGAAGCGGCCCGGATCATCACCGGCCTACCACGATGGACCAAAAGAGCTAAACTCCTCCGAGAAGCAGGCCTACCCCGCTTAGAATATCTTCTGACATATCGCTCAAGAAAGTACAGAACCAGAATACTCTGCACCGACGCAACCCACCCCAACAATGAATCCCTGATCGAGCTCCTCCCATACAGAGAAGCAAATATCAAAGGAACAGGCTTACACCGAATCGCCTCCCTACTACTCCCATATCAGACCCCCGGAAATGCGAGAGATAAGTGGAACCAAAATAAACTACTACGCGACCATCTGTTGGAAGAATGGAATACACAATCAATACCGAACTACCACCATCGGGGGGAATTCCGCCCCCCTCCCAAGATAGCGAAACTCACCCTTACGGAAGCAAAAAAAGTATTTCGAATCCGGTGCCAAACCACCCGAATCGATAAACACGCAGTACATACAGACCCCGAAACATGCCAGTGTGGTATGGAAAACTCAGCGAAACATATACTTATGGAATGCCCAGCGTGGGCTCGAATCCGTACCCCTCTGATAGAAAAGATCCCCGGAGCGATGACCTGGGAAAACTGGATGTTTACAAACCTGAGAACGCACCTCATCCTACAATTTGCAAAACAATCTCAACTCTCAAAATGGTACGAGTCGGCGGAGGCGGAGGCGGACCTGGAAGAGGGGATGGAAGAAAATGATTAGGAACGGGATTAGGAAGGGCAGTTTCCTTTTACTCTTTAAATTTTGATTTTAATTTCGTTTTGATGGATCCAGCGCTCGAGTCCGCTGAGATATGTTATTCTTCTTGTCGTTGGGTTTTTCTGGTTGAGTGTCGTTTTGGAATCTCCTTGTTATTGTTTGCGTTTGTTTGTGCTTGCTTTGTTCTTGTTTTGTTCGTTTGCGTTTGTTGGTTTTCTTTCTTTCTTTTGTTCGGTTCGTGTTTTAGGCGGTTGGGTCGGCGTGCGATAAGTCTTCTACTTCAAAGCAATATAAGTTTCTTCTTCTTCTTCTTCTGTATTCTACTCCACGAATATTATTCTTGTTCTACGCTACGTCATAGGGTTCAGTTTGGTTGTCAGATCAAACGGAGCCGCCTCATAGTCCATAGTCACGAACATCTTCTACTACATTCTTACTTCGGTTGTATTCCTTGGCATTATAGTTTCTTACCCATAGGCCCACGTTATACCGAACAACGGGCCATCCGTAACAGGATGGGACAATTCACTGCCCCCGCCGCTGCCGCCGACCCACTGTCCCGCCGATCGCTAGTTCCACCTCCTCTGAGTCGGGTTTTCAGTAGTCCCGGGCTTGATCAATGGCCCCTGCTTGGGACCTCCTAATGTTTCTTCTTTGTCTGCATTTTCTATCACTGGCTTCTCGGTATCGTCTGTGGAGGATAAATTGGATGGAGATCATTTTGTTGCTTCTTGTAAAATTGTAAACAATAAAATATCCGTTCAAACCCACGCATTGATTGATACCGGTTGCTCCGGATTCCCATTCATTGATGAAACATTCGCGCGCCATAACAACCTCCCATTCCTCCCCCTCAAATCACTCCGTACTCTTGAAGTCATCGACGGGCGGCCCATATCCTCCGGACAGATCACCCACCTGTGCTACCTACCACTGTCAATCGACTCCCACCACGAAACTATCCCCTTCTTCATCACCAAACTCGGCTCCTCCCCACTCATACTCATGATCCCTTGGCTTCAACTATACGACGCCACACTATGGTTTAAAGATAATAGCCTACTGCTCGACTCCGAATACTGCAAGCGCAAGTGCAACTCCTCCGCAAAACCCGTTCCCATTAAAGGAATTTCACCACCACCCCGCTTCCACCTCGTCAGTTCAGCTGCCCTCTTCCGCTTTGCTCGAAGGGACAAACTCCAAATCTTCAGTACAACTATAGAGGAAATCGATCAAGCCATGGGCAAGGCCCCCAAGGAAGACTGGAGAAACTGAGTTCCAATCCGGTACAAGAGATTCCATAAGATGATGGACGAGAAGTTTGCTAACGAAATGCCGCCACGCCGCCCCTATGACCACAAGATACCGCTCAAGGAAGGAAAAGAACCCCCATTCGGGTCACTCTACCGTGTGTCCCGTGATGAACACATCGTACTCAACCAATACATACAGTATAACCTTGAGAGATCTTCACCCAGGCCAGCTCTTCCCCCGCCGGTGCCCCCGTCCTATTTGTTAAAAAGGCCGATGGAACACTCCGTCTCTGCGTCGATTATCGTGGCCTTAATGAACTTACCGTAAAAAACCACTATCTGCTGCCGCTTATCTGGGAAACTCTCGACCGCCTCTCCAAGGTCAAGTGGTACACCAAATTTGACCTTCGCCAAGGGTATAACCAGATCCAAATGGCTGAGGATGAAGAATGGAAAACAGCCTTTCGTACCCATTACGGGCATTTCGAATATACGGTAATGCCTTTCGACCTCACCAACGAGCCAGCCACCTTCCAACACTTTATCAACGATGGCGTCCGTGACTACCTCGACCTGTTCTGTACAGCCTACCTTGACGATATTCTCATCTATAGCGATACCCTCGAGGAACATCAGGTACATCTCGAAAAAGTCCTGGAAGCTCCACAAAGAAATGGAGTACTGCTGAAACCAGAGAAATGCGAGTTTCACACACAAAGTAGTACCTACCTTGGCCTCATCATCGAACCCACCGTCATTAAAATGGATCCAAAGAAAGTGGATACACTGAAGAATTGGACTGTTCCTAAAACAGTTAAGGATGTGCAAGCATTCCTGGGGTTTGCCAACTTTTACCGCCGATTCATACGTGGGTTCTCAGAACTGCAAGAGGCTTCTCCCCTTACCAGACTGACACATAAGGACATATCGTTCGGATTAATACCCGAAGCCCAAGCTACCTTCAATGCCCTGAAGGAAGCCTTCACAACCGCTCCCATCCTCACCCATTTCGACCCCGAGAAGGAAATTACTGTGGAAACCGATGCATCTAACTAAATCTCTGCCAGTGTACTCTCTCAATACGATGGTAATGGTACCCTTCGACCCGTCGCATACTTCTCAAAGAAGCACTTCCCTGCCGAATGCAACTACGAGATTTATGACAAAGAATTATTGGCGATCATTCGATTCTTTGAAGAATGGCGACCGGAACTTGAAGGGGCTACACACCCAATCGCCGTTATATCCGATTATAAGAATCTTAAATACTTTATGAGTACTAAACAACTCAACCGGAGACAAGCACGTTGGGCGGAATACCTCTCACGGTTCAATTTTGTCATCAAGTACCGACCAGGGAAACAAGGAGGAAAACTGGACGCATTGACAAGGAGATCAGGAGATCTCCCTGGAGAGGGGGATGAAAGGCAATTACACCAGAGTCAATTCATATTGAAAAAGGAGGATCTTGAAGCAAAGCTTAGTTTGTTGGCGGGTTCTTTGTGAAATGAATCCGCTGAAAAGAACGCCTCACTGAGCACACTATTTGATGAAGAATATAACACTGGCCCATTCCCACAAAGGATACTGGATATGCGGATCAAAGGTGAATGACAATCAAAGGACATATCACTCGCCGAATGCACCGAGGTTGAAGGCCGATTGTTCTACCGAGGTAGCATATATGTACCCGACTACGACCCTCTTAAACTCCGGATCCTCAAACTGTACCACGACGCTGTCTCTGCCGGACACCCTGGACGTGAAAAAATATTTGAACTCATCAGTCGAGACTACTACTGGCCCCTTATGTGGAATTATATTGCCCGCTATGTTCGGAACTGCCACAGCTGTCAACGAAGTAAACCCAACACCCAGGGAAAACTCGGCATACTTCGACCTTTACCGATCCCCGAACAACCATGGCAAGAGGTATCAATGGACTTCGTTACTGGCCTACCGGAGAGCGAGGGGTACAACGCAATCATGGTAGTTGTTGACCGGTTAACAAAGATGCGATATTTCCTATCCTGCAACACCACCATCAACTCCGAAGACGTCGCCCAGTTATACCTGCGAAATACATGGAAACTCCACGGGCTACCCACACATGTCACCTCCGACCGTGGCTTGCAATTTACAGCCAAATTCTGGAGGACTCTCTATAAACACCTCGGCATCGAAGCAAGAATGTCCACCACCTTCCACCCAGAGACCGACGGCCAAACTGAAAGACTGAACGCCGTAATGGAACAATACCTACATGGATAAGTCTCTTATTAACAGGACGATTGGGTATAATGGCTCCCTATGGCAGAATTCTCTGCCAACAACCAGATTTCCACATCCATCAAAGCTACACCATTCTTCACGAACTATGGCTTCCACCCCCAGTTTACAGTGATGATTAAACCACTTGACAGGACCCCACCGAGCGTCAACACTAAGGACTTCACTTCGAAGATGAAAGAGCTCAACGAACACCTACGTTCCAATATCCGCACGGCGCAATACCCACAAGAACAAGCCGTGAATACCAAACGAATGCTGGCACCGCGCTACGATGTCGGCGATATGGTGTTTGTTTCAGCAAAAAATATCCGAAACACCCGTAACTCTCGAAAGTTAGACTGGAAGAAGCTGGGACCGTTCCCCGTCAAAGAAATCATATCGCCATATGCGTACCGAATCGACCTATCTAGGAGCATGAAAATGCACCCCGTCTTCCATGTATCGCTGCTAGACTCCGCTGCAAATGATCTCGTCCCCGGGCAAATCCAACCACCACCCCCACCTATCATCGTTGAACAGGAATAGGAGTACGCGGTCGAAGAAATCCTAGACTCATGGGAAACAAAAAATAACGGCCTGCAATATTTTGTTAAATGGACAGGCTACACCGATCCCACCTGGGAACCCACTGTATACCAAGACAATACCACCGCCGTTGATATTTTCCATACATGCAACCCTATCAAACCTGGGCTATTGGAAGTAAAAGTTAGGGTTAAGGATCGCAGGAGCTCGCGCTTGAAGGGAGGGGCTACTTTCATGGATCGATTAGTTACTACACTGGGTTACGAGGAGTTGAATTAGTCAGAAGGATTCTATTAAGTTCTATTGGGTTCTGTTGGTCGCAAGGGTATGAGTTACTTTGGATTTGTCATCGCTGGGATTTCCTTAGGTATATTAGGAGGTTTCACCCTCGCTTCTGTTCTCTTTCTCTTCTTTTTTTTGATACACAATGTCTTCTCTACCTACGCTGTCTATTACTATATAATATCACTTCCTCTTCTTTACTAAAGAAGACCACCGTGCTGCTGCTTCCCTTATCCCATTAACCCTTACCAACACTAGAATCCCTCAGGACCCCTATCGCAGGCTCCCCCCACCGACTTTTACTACCCCCTTCATACCCTGCAGAATACTTGCTACTCACCCCCTTGAGAGGGAGTGGTAGGCATGTGTTCCGGGTGACTGGCAAATATCTCGAACTCGCAAATGGAATGCTTGCTACATATATCTATGATAGTACCGGTCGATTGACGAATGGACTAACTGTATCAAAATATAGTTTTCAAAATATTCTTCAACAGTTTTTATGCGGCCACTTGAGGTTTCAGGGCCCTAATGGAGATCGATCATATGAAGGATGCTGATTAACCGAGTCTTTAAGGACATCACTGGCTGTTTCTACGCATTACGGAGGTATCAATTACTGATTAGAGCTCACTTTTGCCCTCCTTGAGGTCTTTGAGGTCGCTGGAGGTTACAGAGATCCCCTGAAGCTGCGGGGTTTATTGGACATTGATCTAAATCAATTATTTGTTGTTTGCGGTCTAGCTATAGATATATGAGGTTAGTAGTCCATTCGCAACTACCTCAAGTCCATTCATGAATTCGAGCTATTCACCGGTGGCACGGAACCCATACACCCGAATAGTGAGCTGACCCACGATTCTTGCAATTCAATCTTGAATACCATATTATATTCACTTGGTACTATATAGGGGCAGCTTATATAACGTGAGCTTACCGGTAGTCTTTAAATCTAGAGAGATGAGCTAACAGAATCAGTGAGGTTTGTAGTTAAGGATGTCCTTCGCAACGAAAATATGTAGTTATCCTCCAAGAGGACAGGTCCACTTCACGCCTGTGAGTTGCACGCTACATGCTCAAATTTTACTTGTATGGATGTAACCGTTGTGTGAGTCTATGAATGTTGCAATTCGGTTTCCTCAAGCTACTTAGAGCCAGTTTGGGAGCCGTCAAAAAGGGAGTTATAGGGCTAAATACTCCGTTCTGAGAAAACGGATTGTGTTTAGTGACTCATTTTGCGCGTCCAGAAAACAACGTTAACTCCATGAAAACAGAGAGTTTCAATAAGCAACTAGGACCTAATTTTTGCTTAAAACTCCGTTTCGAAATTTCTCACTATCCCATCCACTAACGGAGAATGATTGAAACGTTGTTTTCTACTGAGGCCATCTCCCAAACGGACCCTAAATGTAACTTCACCACTCCATGTATAATATATGTAGATATCAAAATTAGAACACAAAAGCTGGAAACAATGATGAAAAAGACAGACTTCTGATATAGTCTATCTTGAAATTGGCTGTTTTTGTCTGTAATAAAAAGCTGCCAAGAGTAAATAAAGTGAAACAGTATGTACGTAGGTACTGTATTATATATGTTATGTCCTAGCGACAAACGCTCCCCAGTCACTGGCAGGAACGGTCATGAATGAGATATCCTATTCACGGATGTGGTATCAATTTAGCCCCCCAATCATGAACGCATTGTTATATCGGACAACACTAGTACTGAGAGCTAGCACCAGCTCAAGTATCGGTCATGTAAATGCTGATGTCAGCGTGAATGTCGGTATTGTCTTTCGCAACCGCTTGTTGAAACTCATGTCACTGAGGATTTATCCAAATAAATACACTACATATACTCAAATACATAATGGTGCTTGAGGAACCTCTTCTACTGGTTTGGACCCAATATACATGCATCCAATGCTGGAACATAAGGTTTAAGTTGCTAAGCACAGGTGTGGCATTCCTAGCTGGGGGTTCTATCGGCGAACGCTCTGGTATAGAATTGCGTTCCTGAATGGAGAGCGTACGTCGCTGGGGTATAACATATATACCCATTTATCCAATAAACCGTCGAGACAATGCTGACAGCCCTTTACAAACACCAAGAGGTGGCTAGGGCCAATAGGTTTTGTGGTTTTCGTTGACCCCTTACCCAATCGTGCTGTGGCTTTTGGTCTCACATTAGGGGTATCAACATCGACGGTTTATGGGATACCCTGCAAAAAGCTAACCTGCCCCCCCTGCCTGATTGGCCTTGGAGTCACATTGCAGCCACGCTTGTATGTACCACTTCCATATGCCGCCGTGTCACCTTTAAGACTGGACGCACCATACTCTATATGAGTACATGTACTACTAAGGGACCACCTCGAGACCACGAGTTGTAGGTATTTACTTTGGATTATATATGGGTATCAATCAAGTTTTCAAAAATTGTGGAAGGCTTTCAATGGGGGGCTCCGCCCCCCCATCTTCACTTCCATCTCCCACTCTCCCTCCAATTGATTCAATTCTCTCTCTAGAATTATTGGGGACTTCGGCCCCGTCCTCCTCCTTCCTTCCATCAGTATCGTACTTACTAAACCACCCCTGTCACTCTCGACCAATCAGAGTAAAAAGAGTCGGGAAAACCCAACCACAGTACCTACATACTAGTAGTAGCCCACCTCGCGACCGCGAGTTATATTTTGGATTATGGGTATCAATCAAGTGTTCAATAATAGTGAAAGGCCTTCAATGGGGGGGCCTTCGGCCCCTCCCTCCTCCCACTTCTACCTCCCACTCTCTCCAATTCACAGTTATGGAGGACCTTCAGCCCATTCAATCGTGAGTGCTCAGAATCTTGATGTGTCGCGCTTAATAAACCGCCCCTGTCTCTCTCGACCAATCAGATTGAATGAGCGTACATCAGAGAGTAAAGATAATACATATTAGATTAGACTAGCAGTGGCCAGCTCGCGACCGCGAGTTGCAGGTTCCTTTAATGGAGAGGTCAAGTGCTTCGGTCTGCCCCAGTTTTACGAAGGTCCCCCGCGCCCGGGGGATTGACCCCCTCCCAGCCATTTCACTCTTTCTTGATATTCAATTTTCCAATAGTTCTTCCTAGTCAGTTCACCCTTTCGATAATGTATCCTTTAGTTGCGCCAGCTGCTCAGGATACATTTGATGGGTCGCGCTTAGTCAGCTACCCTGTCACTAATCCCTGTCAATCTTGGAGACCGACCAATTAATCCATCAGTGAGCGGCTGGCCGGCCAGCTGCAGGCCAAGCTCGACTTCCTCTCAATAAGGCAGAGCCGCAGAGGCTCGATCGGTAAGGAAGTTCACTGCCTATATGGTAAACTACCGCAGTAATTCGTCTCAGCGGACTGTCACACAAGACGTCGAAGTTGCCTTTTACAGCGAGTATGAAGGAAGATTAGAAGACAAATGTCCAGATAGGGGAATTCCAACGTTACACTGTGTGACCGTCCGCCGAGGCTGAGTAACGTTGTCGTGTACTCTATACCTACATGCACATATGTATGTTCCCCTTCCTAAACCTCTCTCGCACACCGAAACAACTCCATTCCATCATTCACGTACAACTTTCTTAAACATAATTAAGGGCCTTCTAGCTTCATATTACCATCGACATCGTTATATACGCCGTCATCTACGTATATACGACCTCACTGCCCGGAACAAAACCTGCGGGCCGGTACATCAATAGCTTCAAGCTATGGGGTCAGAACAATCTAAACTTAAACCCGGGAGGCCGGGGCTCACGCGTAGGTTTCGTCGTGGTTCAAGGGAAACCCTAACTGATGCGCCAATCCCCGCGGCGACTGCGCAGGCCTTGTCCGCCAACTGGCCCGCTGAACTCGCGACTCCCGACCCCCGCACTGCGAGTCGTGTGCCGGACTCCATGCCTCGCCCCCCCAACTTAAGTATTAATGGGAATATCATAGAGACGTAAGCATTCATGAGTGTTTGAGTTTTGCAATATTGACGGTGACGTTGGTGCTCACTGTCTATGAAAGTTATGCGGCGGCCACAAATTCCCCAGTACATGGCCAGGTGGTCAACTCTAGATCCCTAGGGCCAGCCGGATCAATGGCGCGGACTTCAACACCTGCTACTAGTGTAAAGTATGAAGCGCATGCACCTTCTTTGATATAGATGTTGATAGATATGCCTAGTACCGCAATTACTACAACCACAGTAACACCCCCGATTCGCTCAAACGCTACCCAACAGACGGCACTATTGACACAACAGGCAGTACTTGGGCCGCAAAGGTAGGAATACTGGTGGTGTTTCGCCCCAGCATCTATGCTAATAGATCGGTACCGTGGCTAATCAACTACTAGCCTATGGGAACAAGCTTGGAAAAAGTGGGCAGCCAAAAGCGGCGGGAGTTCCAGTTCTAGAGCATCAACAAGCATGAAACTCGTCGATGAACTTATTCAAGAGGTGGAAGAGAAAAGAGGTCAATGTGAAGAAAAACGATGGTTTAGAGTCACAAAGGAAGGGGAGAAAGTATTTCTGATGGATGCACTTCTTGGCCAGCTCAATAGGTATGCTAGGATAGGTGATATTGCCATCCAGCATCATCCAGAAATCGTTGCCCTCGCATGGTCGGGTTTCCGGCTTCTACTGCAGGTAAGAGACATCGCTCTGTACAGCTGTGTTTATACATGTGTGGATATGTGTTGCTCGGCGATAGGCATGACTGTACCCCACTGGCTACTTACTTACTAAACCTAGGTCGGGACCGCTTATACCGGGGCTATGAAGATTGTTACAGAGAGCCTGGAATATCTTGTGCGGATATTGAGTATTTGCGATATCTACGAGAGGCTTTACTCCCTGGACAATCTCAGCTCAACCAAACACCTCAATGATGCTATTATAAACTTATATGAATCAATCATAGAATATCTTTTCTATGCCAAGCGGTACCTTGAGCAGAATACGTTTGGTAAGCCAGAGTCACTGGAGCAGGACTTGCCACATTGCGCTAAACATACACGTAGGACGGATCATTGATAGTTTCCTTTCAGAATTAGGAGAGCGTTCGAGTGCGCTCAGGGCGGGGGAGGAAGAAGTGGAAAGATGGGCCGATACAGCCGAGAAAGAAGGTTTATACCCATAGGTTACAACATGAATCATGGCTTTGCTAACAACCTTCACATCATACAGCTTCTGCTACTGTTCGTTCTGGTACGTATGGCCTTTATTCGAGGACTCACTCCCTTTCCCATTTTTCTTTTTTATTTTTGTTTAATTCATTAATTACTCCCTTTCCCATTCCCACTCATGTGAATATGGAAATTAAATTGTGTAAAGTCCAGAAGAGTAGTGCACAAGATTTGCGGGCTCTTCTTCTCAATGTCCAGCAGCCGGTCCAGCGTGTTGGGGGCGTTGTGGAGGCCATATTCAAAACTGTCGAGAGTAAGTCTTGTCCGATGATGCTCTCATTTACACTTCTAACTTAAACTCAAAACCTCTTAGGTGGAAGGAGGCTGGAAATCTTGCAATGGCTGTCGAATGTGCAGTACACGGATCACCACTCGTATTTTTCCAAACGTCGTCATGACAACACCGGCACTTGGTTACTACAGAATAATAGATTTCGAGATTGGAAAGAATCACAGTCATCGTCACTGTTCTGGCTACGAGGTGATGGTAAATATTCCCCCGTGGTTATACCATTTTCTCCCCCCATACTTCCCATCTTATTGAGCTCCGGGCTGATACCTAGTGTAGCGGGATCAGGCAAGACCATGTTGGCGTGAGTAGTATGACATTTCTATATGGAGCATAGGTTAAGCGCGAATAGATCGATGGTTATTGATGAGTTCTCGAAGAACCTCGATCACCATGCACTGGCCTATTTCTATTGTCTTTACCAAGAGGAGAGTAGAGATAGCCCAGAAAGCATTATGAGAGCTCTCGTCAAACAGATGTGCCTTGCGTACCCGGGGATGAATCTTCCAACGCCACTGCTATCATTATATGAAGAACGTGAAAAGACAGGCCATAGCTCTGGACCACCCAAGCTTAAAGAGAGTGAGGATCTCATTGTGGAGCTATCGAAAGGGGTATGGAAAACGACAATAATTATCGACGCCCTTGACGAATGCAATCCACAAACACGGGGTGGTCTCTTCAATGCTTTGAAGAGGATTGTTTCGCTAGCGAGTAATATCAAAATCTTCGTTACCGCAAGGAACGACGGCGATATCGACGAGAAGTTACGTGGATTTTTGAATCATTACATTCATTCTGTCGATAATACGGAAGACATCAATAAATTTATCGATACGGAGATTGAACGACGTTGCAGACCTGATGACTTGGAATATGGGGAGAGGTCACTGCTTGGCGGAGAAGCGCCTCCGGAGTTGAAAAATATGGTTATTTCAACGATAAAGCAAAAGGCCTGTGGAGTGTGGGTTGACTCTCTCCCTTGGTAGAGATAGCCCGCGTTAATATGTATATCTATAGGTTTATGTGGGCGCATTTCCAAATCATTGCGATTTGTGAAGAACATATTGCCGGAGATGTTGAAGATGCGCTTGAGAAATTGCCAAAGGACCTGGATTCAACCTACCGGGGGGTTTTCGACCGGATCGACTCCCAAAGCGAAGCGGCGAGCTTTATGGCTCGGGAGGTGCTGAAGTGGGTGCTATATGGGGAGAATACCTCGCCTGAGCTGATCATTCAAGCGTTGGCAGTCAAACCTGGCGTGGCCGCATTGGACCAGAGAAAGCTTGAGTGGACCACACGTAAAATTCTCAGCATTTGCCATAACCTTGTCGTATACGACGAAACAGTTGGAAGACTCCGCCTTGCACATCTTTCGGTGCAGGAGTTTTTGGAACGGCAACCTGAATTTAGCCCGAAGGAGAGAATTCACTGCTATATGGCAGAGCTTCTTATGACTGTACTCACCAATTACAATTCCGGCATGGAAGCCCAGTACATACCCGAATTGCTTGCATATTCCACAACACATTGGCATGTCCATGTTAAATATTCAGGCACTTCTATGAGTAACTGTCTGAAGGATTGTTTGAAAGCGTTTTTGAAACCTGGCTCAGCATATCACTCATGGGGTTCAAGGATTGTTCGTATTGATGATGTCTTGGCCAGCGACGGTCCTGCTGGGTCTCATGTCTCACCCTTCTGGGCTGCGTGTTATTACAATCTATACAACGTCCACAGGTATCTTTGGGGCGACGAGACGGGTCGCGGCCTGGATGATCATTTATCAATGATAGAGATAGAACAGCCGAGGGGGTTGGACGCGGCCAGCCAACTCAATACCAATAATAGGTATGGCGATACACCGCTATCGCAAGTTGCGCATGAGGGGCACTCAGAGATTTTGCAAATACTACTGGACACACCGGGGATAGACATGAACAGCAAGAACGACAATGGTAATACACCTCTATCAAGAGCTGCACACGAGGGACATGCAAAGATCGTGCAGATACTGCTAGAGAAGAGTGGGGTAGACTTGAACGCCAAGGACAAATTTGGGGATACACCGCTGTCGCAGGCTGTATATCGGGAGAAGTTTGAGGTAGTACATGTGCTATTAGAGAAGCCGGGAGTAGACCTGAACAGCGAGGACCAAAGTGGCCGTACACCACTATTTCATGCATCTCGGGGGAGCGGGGCTATGCTCAAGCTACTGCTAGAGAAGCCGGGGGTAGATATTTTTCGAACCGATATGTTTGGAGATCGCGCGCTATCACGAGCAGTGACTTTGGGGAGCATAGAGGTAGTGAAGCTACTGATAGAGAGGCCTAGGCGGGAAATAGATCTGAACTACCGAAACAGGTATGGCAAAACAGCACTATCAATAGCTGCAGATCTTGGACGCACAGAGATAGTGAAGCTGCTGCTATCTAAGCCGGAGGTAGACCTGAATACCAAAAACAACGACGGCGAGACACCGCTAGCATTAGCTGCACGCCATGGACGTGCAGAGGTGGTATGGCTACTGCTATATAAGCCGGGGGTAGACCTGAACACCAAAAACAACGACGGCGAGACACCTCTAGCATTAGCTGCAAGCCATGGACATGCAGAGGTGGTATGGCTACTGCTAGGGAAGCCGGGGGTAGATATTATTCGAACCGATATGTTTGGAGATAGCGCGCTATCACGAGCAGTGACTTTTGGGAGCATAGAGGTAGTGAAGCTACTAATAGAGAGGTCGGAAATAAATCTGAACCACCGAGACAGGTATGGCAGAACACCACTATCAATAGCTGCAAATCTTGGGCACACAGAGATAGTGAGGCTACTGCTCGAGAAGCCAGAGATCGATCTGAACAACAAGGACAAACTTGGCTTTACGGCGCTATCATTAGCTATTAGAAATAGATACACAGAGGCGGCGAAGCTGCTGCTATATAAGCCGGAGATAGACCTGAACAGCCAGAACTACGGCGGTGAGACACCGCTATCATTAGCTGCACACCACGGAAATACAGAGGTGGTATGGATACTGCTGTATAAGCCGGAGGTAGACCTGAACACCAAAAACAACGACGGCGAGACACCGCTAGCATTAGCTGCACATCATGGACGTGCAGAGGTGGTGCAGCTGCTGCTATATAAGCCGGAGATAGACCTGAACAGCCACAACTACGACGGCGAGACACCGCTAGCATTAGCTGCAAGCCACGGACATGCAGAGGTGGTATGCCTACTGCTATATAAGCCGGGGGTAGACCTGAACAGCAAGAACGACGACGGTGAGACACCGCTATCATTAGCTGTACGCCATGGACATGCAGAGGTGATATGGGTACTTCTACATAAGCCGGGAGTAGACCTGCAAGTCGCGAGTAAGACACTTCTATCAGCGGCTGTGGCGTCCGGGCGTAGAGAATTAGTAAAGCTAGTGTTGGGGATTTCGGGGGTTGACGTGAACATCGATACACCGCTGGCAGAAGCTGCGTGTCTGGGACACACAGAGATAGTGAGGCTACTGCTGGAAAGACCAGAGATAGACCTGAATCTCAAAGACAGTTCCGGAAATACACCGTTATCATCAGCTGCATGTCATGGATTCGCAGAGGTGGTGCAGCTACTGTTAGAGCAGTCGGGGGTGGACCTGGACAGCAAAAACAACGACGGTGAGACACCGCTATCAAGAGCCGCACGTTATGGATACTCAGAAGTGGTGCAGCTCCTGCTAGAGAGGCCGGAGATAGGCCTGAACAGCAAGAACGACGACGGTGAGACACCGCTATCATTAGCTGTACGCCATGGACATGCAGAGGTGATATGGATACTGCTACGTAAGCCGGGAGTAGACCTGCAAGTCGCGAGTAAGACACTTCTATCAGCGGCTGTGGCGTCCAGGCGTAGTGAATTAGTAAAGCTAGTGCTGGGGATTTCGGGGGTTGACGTGAACATCGATACACCGCTGGCAGAAGCTGCGTGTCTGGGACACACAGAGATAGTGAGGCTACTGCTAGAAAGACCAGAGATAGACCTGAATCCCAAGGACAGTTTCGGCAATACACCGTTATCATCAGCTGCATGTCATGGATTCGCAGAGGTGGTGCAGCTACTGTTAGAGCAGTCGGGGGTGGACCTGGACAGCAAAAACAACGACGGTGAGACACCGCTATCAAGAGCCGCACGTTATGGATACTCAGAAGTGGTGCAGCTCCTGCTAGAGAGGCCGGAGATAGGCCTGAACAGCAAGAACGACGACGGTGAGACACCGCTATCATTAGCTGTACGCCATGGACATGCAGAGGTGATATGGATACTGCTACGTAAGCCGGGAGTAGACCTGCAAGTCGCGAGTAAGACACTTCTATCAGCGGCTGTGGCGTCCAGGCGTAGTGAATTAGTAAAGCTAGTGCTGGGGATTTCGGGGGTTGACGTGAACATCGATACACCGCTGGCAGAAGCTGCGTGTCTGGGACACACAGAGATAGTGAGGCTACTGCTAGAAAGACCAGAGATAGACCTGAATCCCAAGGACAGTTTCGGCAATACACCGTTATCATCAGCTGCATGTCATGGATTCGCAGAGGTGGTGCAGCTACTGTTAGAGCAGTCGGGGGTGGACCTGGACAGCAAAAACAACGACGGTGAGACACCGCTATCAAGAGCCGCACGTTATGGATACTCAGAAGTGGTGCAGCTCCTGCTAGAGAGGCCGGAGATAGACCTGAATACCAGGGTCAGTTTCGACGATACACCGTTATCATTAGCCGCACGTAAAGGATACGAGAAAGTGGTGCAGCTCCTACTAGAGAGGCCGGAGATAGACCTGAATACCAGGGACAGTTTCGACGATACACCGTTATCATTAGCCGCACGTCAAGGACACGAGAAAGTGGTGCAGCTCCTACTAGAGAGGCCGGAGATAGACCTGAACTGCAAGAACCAACTTGGCGATACACCACTATCAAGAGCTGCAAAAGAGGGGAAGAAGAAGGTAGTGCAGCTTCTGTTACAGCAGTCGGGGGTGGACCTGGACAGCAAAAACAACGAGGGTGAGACACCCCTATCAAGAGCCGCACGTTATGGATACTCAGAAGTGGTGCAGCTCCTGCTAGAGAGGCCGGAGATAGACCTGAATACCAGGGACAGTTTCGACGATACACCGTTATCATTAGCCGCACGTCAAGGATACGAGAAAGTGGTGCAGCTCCTACTAGAGAGGCCGGAGATAGACCTGAATACCAGGGACAGTTTCGACGATACACCGTTATCATTAGCCGCACGTCAAGGACACGAGAAGGTGGTGCAGCTCCTACTAGAGAGGCCCGGGATAGACCTGAACTGTAAGAACCAACTTGGCGATACACCACTATCAAGAGCTGCAAAAGAGGGGAAGAAGAAGGTAGTGCAGCTTCTGTTACAGCAGTCGGGGATAGACCTGAACTTCAAGAACAAACTTGGCGATACACCACTATCAAGAGCCGCACGTTATGGACACGCGCTAGTAGTACTGCTCCTGCTAGAGAGGCCGGGGATAGACCTGAACTGCAAGAACCAATTTGGCGATACACCACTATCAAGAGCCGCACGTTATGGAAAGGCGCTAGTAGTACTGCTCCTGCTAGAGAGGCCGGGGATAGACCTGAACTGCAAGAACCAACTTGGCGATACACCACTATCAAGAGCTGCAAAAGAGGGGATGACGAAGGTAGTGCAGCTTCTGTTACAGCAGTCGGGGGTGGACATGGACAGCAAAAACAGCTGTGGCCAAACACCTCTATCATCAGCTCTCCAGAATAGACACACCGAGACAGCAGAACATCTTAAAGGGGCTCTTAACTAGTAGACCCTTGTCTGTCGGCCCTCTTCACGAGCCCTCTTCTCCCAACAAAGATACCAACCTGGTACTCTAGTTGCCAATAGTTCGTAATCATCCTGTCATAGTTGATTGGCCGATGAATCTTTATCCTTTCGGAGAAATAATGTGGTGCGGGGGCTTGGGGTGGAGGCGGAACCCGGATGACATAGGGTCATCCCAGATTTCATGTTCTTGTCTGAGATGATTTATTTCTTAATTCTCCCGTAAATGTCAGCGGTATGATTTCTATGTATAAGTGGAGTTGATTGTCTGGAGATAATGTACTTTGATATTTCCTCCGAGTCCATTCTGCTGTCGTCGCGCTAATCAATTTCTCATGTTCCATTTTTCACTATATATTTTTACATATTACTTAGATACGTCGATTTATACGATCTCAGCCGGCATGGCTTTATAACCCTATCAATCTGTAAGGAGAGTTGTCCGGGTATCTAGCACTTTATGCTCAAATGGGCGCTCAATTGCTTTGCAATATCCCGCTACTAACGAAACAGAGAGGAAGTCGTATTTTTGCAAACCAAACAATAAAGAGTACGACAACTAATACAAGACCGGGGGCATCACATAAATTCTGTACCGACGCCTGCTTGTCTGTAGCTAAAATCACAACGTACCTCCTCTCGCAAAATGAACGTCAAACACGAATCAATGGCTGAGGACCGACAGACATCATGAACTTTGAGTCTTTTATCAAAGAGTTACAGTGCCTATGCATATACGCCACCTAGTCAATAGGAACAATAACAGTTTGGTACTTTCGAAGTGGGTGATGGAGCGCTGGTGCTCGATCTCAGGCATATATATCCCTTCGGCAGCTAGTTCCCGGCTCGAGGAGCATAAGATAAGTAGGTGACTATGTAAGTCATTTACTGTATAAAAGTGACAAAGCCATATATAGGCTAGATGACTGGGTCTTTTAAAATAGTCATTTATATGACCACGGTTAATAAAAGACTAGCCATTTAGAGGCAAATGACATTTTTTTTTTATTTATCATTTACTGCAGATACGGTATATCCTTGTCCGTCGTTATCATGATAATGGTGGTGTGGTGGTGGCAAGACGACGATGAGGGTGAGGCTTTGGAAAGAAGAAGGAAAAGGAAAGGCATATAACATATTAAGCCCACGACGGCGTTGTGATAGACACAATTTTGTACTCCACTACCTTTAGAGAAACCTTTGGTGACAAGCGTGGCAATCTTGCACCGCCAGCCGACTTTGCAGTTAACGTTAGCTTCTACAATATGTATGCTGAGCTATATATTGGCCACCGGCCAATAGCCACAATATGTCCTGAAGACGGAGGATGGGACCAGTAGATAAATGTATATAGAGAAGTGAAGTAATTGAGCGTGTTGATTAACTCTAAGGGGGAATTGCCCCATATTCATACTTAAAGAAAGGTAGTACAGAAATATAATAAAAGTCATAAACACGTAAGCAATAAAATGACTAATAGGAAATAAATAAAGAATGAGTCAGAACCCGTGACTCTTAATAACAAATGAAATCCTCCAATACTATGAGTATGTGGCGAGCGTACTATTTCAAGAACCAGAAGGGCGGAGAGGGGTTTGTAGAGGTTTGGAGCTGCCCCAGTACCGCGTCTGCTCAAGTCGGCTTATTGAACACCTAACTCCCGGATCCCACGAGGTTTGGATCGGAGTATGGTCAAGGTTACGAAGTCTGCCCTTCTCGCCATTGCGATATATTATATTGGTTGGATTGCGAGTGACATCGAATGCAGGCCATCTTAGCATCATGGAGCATGTCACGTGAGTGTATCTGACAAAAACACCCTGCAAAATCACGGGAAGTGAAGGTGGAGCTTAAGTAAATAGATAATCCATGCAGGTCATATATACATACCCCATCACCCCCGGCCCTCGGCTCTAGCATTGATCTTCGTCTTTTGAGAAATCATGAGAAAGTTAGCAGAACAGCCTGCATATAGCGTCTAGATGAGTTCCAAGTAACTATGCAAATACATGTACCTACATCGGGATAACGTGAGGGAGGCATGGTAGGGATGTAAACTCGGTGAATATATCCTACTTACATCATCAACAACGAAAAAGAAGAAAAATGGGAGAAAGGGGAATGGAGGAGCACATAATGCATGAGGGACTGTAGAAACTTACCCGGGATGCACTTGATCTTATAATCTCCGTCCGGAGACGTTAAGCTGCCAGTTGCGCTTATATCCATATATATAGTTGCGGACACCTGTCTCCGGAGTAGGTGCGGCATTGGTGTTTTTTTTGGCTATCACTTTCCCAATCAAGTAATAACTTGGCACTTTTATTGCCAAGATATGTTCTTTTGTGCCAAGACCTTTTAATGATACAAAGTGGTCCGAGAATTTCCTAACCGGATAATTGAAATGCCTAACGCTCCAGAAATATTGACTAAATAGGCAACTTTGGGCGACATTCATTTGGTCGCTTACCAAGGATCAAACTTTTAGAAATTCAATAACTCCACAGAATAAACGATAAAATTAATTAGGCTCTGTCATGATATAGAGCGGAGGCTAAAGCATCATTTAACAGAGAGAAAATAATTCTAAGTGTGGTGGTTGGAAAGTCATCTCCCCCAAAAGGTCGAGGTCAAATGTCCTCCAGTCACAGGTGTCCGCAACCATACGTCACATGAAATTCAGGAGAGAATTACTTATTGTGAATATCAAAGGCCGCCACATGCTTGGGTGACTCCATGTTTGCTGGTTTCAATAGTGAGGAAGGCCTAGGGAAAAGCAGCAAGCGGTACCGATCAGCCTCAAGAGTATAAGATATATGTATATAGCTAAGTGCCAACCGTAATGCCGAGAGCGCATGATTTCGAGACCTCTGTGTCCTACGTATACGCACGTCGTTTATACGGCGTTGTTTCGGGGAGGATAAATTACACCTCACCACCTAGCACTCATTCTGATATGGGCATGATCACTAGATATGACTACCAAATCTAAGGTAACACTCTCTGCATTCAACGTTTTACGACGTACCAGTCTTGTATTTTATTCGCCCCGGAATTTTGGAATCATGGAATCTCACTCGTGGTGTCGAAATTGTCTCGTCCCCAGCATTGTTTGCAGCTACGACTCACATATGGAGTTTCTCGGTACTTTATAGAACTAGAGCTACACCTGAGAAGTACTGTTCAATTCGCACAAGTAGCGACCCCAGCACTCCGCTATCTACAGTATCAAAAATGTAGGTGGATCCAGTACCATAGTATAACTGCAGCTGGCAGGATTAATGCGGGAAGCTTGTGTTATCAGTACGGGAGAGTGGTTAGGATTCCGAATTGACTTGGATGTCTCGCACAGTTCCGTATGGGTACAGTACATCCTATTACATCCCCTTTTTTGGTACTGGGCAGGTTACTCAAATTAAGGTAACCATGATCGTACAGATTGTTGAATGATAGAGGAGTCTACATATACAAGGCCTCGTTTCCCATCATGACCGATCATCCATTAAAGTCCCACAGCAGCCGGAGAAACATGTAAACGCGGGATATATCCGGGCACTCTGATTATAATCCCATCATCACGCCTTTATAACCATTGTTTACTAGGGTTAGGTTGCTTCTAGCTGGTTTTTCGCTGTTTCTTTCTTTCAATTCTCGACGAAGAATCGCCACATATGCATACATGTAGTTGATTTGCAGTTGATGAGGAAACAAGAGGCACGGAGAAATGATATACGCGTATATATAGATTGTGTACCCAGACATTTCTCCGACACGGTAGCAGGAATGAACGACTAAACACTCCCGAACAAAAAAAGCGGCCGACTCCAAACAGGCTCGTTGGTTAAATGAAGTGTTAATAAGTTCTGCAGAACATCGAACTATAGGGCCACATTCATGCCCTCAAATATATATATTCCAAGAATCTTTTTCTGGGCCCACGGAACGCGAACACAGTGCTTGGTATGTTATATTATGTACATATGAAACCAGGGATAGAAAGAAACAGAAATCCCAGGGACAGAACCTAACTCTTTTCATAACCCAACTCGGAGACTGTACTCCCAGGCCCGAAAGCCCAAAACCGACATTGGTAATTACCATTTGCCACCGAGTGATATCCTATGAAGTTAATTCGTTTTAGTACCCGAGCTGCCAAGATGGGAGATGCTGCTTATAAAACGTGCTGGATCGGTAGTATGTCTTTCAGAGAGAGAGAGAGGATCATGCAATCGATTTCTATCAAAACGAGAGCACATAAAACAGGCGAGTCGAATTCTACGGCCTGTTAGCTGTCTGGGTTAGGGTTGACTCACAACAAACAAGCCTCAGAGGCGGCCTCTAGCTCTACCCCCAAAATACGGTTGCTCATGCAGAAGACCAAACTTTTCATATCATTTGTGTGACGGGCCTGACGGTCGACTCAGACCTAGCCCTTTTCTGCACTTTTCTGGGTCAAGCGATGATTCTCAAGGCGACCGCGTCTACCGCAGGGCCTTGTGAATAGCGAATCGGACTGGTCTGTGACATTGCACCTCCATTGGGCGAGATGAGTACTGAGAATCACATGCGTTTGGTCTGTGTGCTTGAGGCTCAACACACACGTAGCCTGTACTTACCTACGCTTGACCAATCCCAAGATTTCGGTATTCCTGAGATATTGCGTGATAAAATGCATACCTATAGCGTAATGCAAGTAAATACTCTAGGACATGGTGAGCGCGTGCCTCACGCCTTCACACATGCGTGCACGTGAAGCGACAGGCCCCGATTGAAAAAAAGAAAAAAAGAAAAAAAGAAGAAAAGAAAAAAAGAAAAAAAGAAAAAAAGAAAAGAAAACAAAACACACTTCTGCACATCTTGGCTCTCCTGCCGAGACCAATCAACCCCGTGGGCTGCTGTGGAGCCCCAACTTTATTTCAATGTCACGAACTGGGCTGCGCATGAGACACCCTGCGCATTCATGATTTTATCGCCATCCACTCCCAGGCGCCCGAGTTGATTCCCGCCCTCGCTTGGAGAACCTAAACCATTTCGCAGGGTACTGTGTGTTGCCGCTACGTGGCCTTCTTGTCTTTCGATGGGTGTTTAGTAATTAGAAGAGAGCACACCGCGTAGTCGCTCCTAGGCCTGTTGTTTTTTTCCACTTGATACATCCATACATACATGTACCTACATACCTTGGATAAAAACAGTGTGATCGGGGATTTTTTTTTTTTTTTTTTTTTTTTTCGTTGATTGTCGTCGCGCGTGCACGATCGGAAACCTCTTTGGACTGGAGGAGGGAACCTGAAGTTTCGTAAATCTTCCGAACCGGGCGGATGTTGGCCGCTCAATCTTGGTAGGGTACTCGATCTGCGTACGGATCGCCGATGCTACCACTCGGTCTTGAGCTGGAGTATGTAGCCTTGGTGCATGACGACCCAAGGATTAGTTGAGCTACTCGTTGGCTGAATGCCTTGTACATGTACGCAATGCCTGCGTGACGAGGGATCGGAATGGTTGTGGGTGGGATATCTTCCGACTCGCCACTGCGGGGGAGAGGAGGTTTGTAAGACATCGGGAATGAGTGGAGTGGAGCGGGACCAGTAGAGTAGCGAAGGCCAGGCTGTGGCTGCTACCTAGTAGAGCAGAGCAGATGCCGCACCACACTCCTCGAGGAGGACGGGGAGCGGGGCTGCCCAGTACTCACTGCCCGGGATGGACGTGGGCCAGCTGGGATGCTGGTACTATCTCGAGGACAGGGAGATGCGGAGAATGATAGGTTTAGTTTGGGTTGAAGATGGATGATGACCTGGCAGCTTGGCACATCCGCTGGCTATATAGGATTATAACACATGCAGGTGCGTATACCAGGAACCGTGAATAGATAACTGAAATTATATGTCTTGAAGCTAAGGATTGCCTAAGAAGTTTAGTTTAACCGTCTGGAACCTACATGTAAATATCAAAGTAACCTTTTCATATCACTACCTATTACGTAGTTTTACGTACAGCCAGGCCTGCAGGACCGAGACGATCGTTTATAGAGAATACCGACACCTGTAATCTACCAGCTAACGTAGTACCCAACTCGAAGCTGCTGCGGCGCATCTATAGCGACCTTGGATAAATTGAGCTACCGAGCGGCGATTGATTGTCTTATAAGAGATATATCGTTTTGTCGCTGAAATAATTGTGATCTTTGTCACATCGGCCATGGGTCCTCCCCGGAACGTAACATACTCCTCTGTTTATCCACCATTGAGGTAGATTAAGCGCTCCGGGCCAATCAGCGGCCTCCCCGGTAACTATGAACATGGCCCAGAAACAATGGTCTCTCTGTTGGAAGCATTTGTTTCACTGGTTGTCACTCGACGCTCGAGTGATATATTGTGAATAGCCCGCCCGCCATCGGTAATCGACTCCGGTCATGTTTACTTCTTAAAGGAGATAGGAAGAAAACTCCAAATTGTGGTTGACTTATTACGGGTATACTCCAACTTTGCTAGAGGCACTAAGTTGAGTTCCCTTTCTTATTGGTAAATAGATGGCAATGCATTATATATTAGGTAAAGGAATAGCCAAGCTTCGAGATTTCCAGATGATCTTTATTACCTCAGACCCCCCCCCCCCCCCTATTCGTCTATGGTAGTCCGTCTGTACCTCACTATGGCGGAACTCACCATGCCGGACCTTCCGCTGTCCCGTACGTACAAAATGCCTCGATGATTGTATTTTTCCTACTGAAAAAGGTAGAATCTGCTATCCCCTACGATCTTTGGTGAATCTACTATATTGGCCGTTCGGTGTAGCGACTGTATCTGTGACCGAAACCTACAAT